CTTGGAGTGGTAAAACCTTGGTGAAGGTTGCCTCATTTGTATAAAATAGTTCTTAATTGGGTGAGTGATCTTTCAAGTGTAGGTTGTTGAGGGTTAACTAGAATAGTTGTAAAACTCCTTGGCTCAACCAAAGAGTATTTGGGGTGAGGAAGGAGTGAGCCTTCACTTGTACATCTTGGTTAGCATCGCCATCAATTGAAGAGGCTATTGGTTGATATTTGGTTTGCATTTCTTATCTTTTCTCTTTAATTAAGTTTTCTTTATTGTGCTTAAATTTGATATATCTTTGTGCATCATTGTGAATTTGTTTGTACTCATTGGGTTGCACCGGGCACTTACAGACCCACTCTCTGGCATTACGGCTCTGTCCCTGTCAGGAGGTCTGACCCTGACACTGTAGCCTTCTGGGTATGATGACGGAGCGTGTTGGGCAGGTGCATTAAGTGCCTCAAGTGCTTTTCAGATAAAGCACTGGTCCCGGGTAATGTCAGGTGGCCTGACATCATCAGCGTGCGGCCAAGGTGGGGGTGCCGAGGTCACCCACACGATAGACTAGGGATCCGGCCGAGCACAGGGGTTATACTCAAGACACGGATGAGCTCTGATAAGGGACGAGGTGTGGTCCCTAGAGGTCATCCAAGGAGGTCGCCCAAAAGCCTTGGTCGACTTCAGGGGTCATTTGTGGGACTTGACCGTGCTTGAGTGGACGGGAGCAGGGTTCACCTCGGCCAGGCGGTGCTGCCCGAGTGAGCATCTTCAATAAGCCCCCCAAGCCTCGGGAGCTCGGGGGATTACGAGGTGCCGAGGCTTCCTGGTGCCGAAATCATTCAGGATCGGGGTCCTGTACAGGGCTCCGGAAGACGCGGGGGCGTGACACGTGGGCATGTCAGTTGAAGGGACTTGGAGTTCATGAAGAAGCTGTCCCCGACTGAGATGGTCCAGGGCCTCATGGTGTCCACAGCTTCCACCTCGGCCTTTGTGGCCGAGATGACACACCGGTACTGTGCTCTGGTAGAGGAGCAGGACACCGGCAAGTTGCAGAATCAGCTCTCTAAGTTGGAGAAAAAACTGGCGGTGTCCGAATCCGAGAAATTGGAGCTTCAGAGGCGACTTCAGGAAGCCGAGGCTAAGGGCGAAGAGGCCGAGGCTACAATGAATAGTCTCAGGTCGGCCTCGAGGAGGAGGAAAAGAGGAGGGACGAGGTGAAGAAGTCCCATGAACAGGCTCTCGAGAGTGTTGGAGCCTCGGCCGTGGAGGCTTTCCGGAAGTCCGAGGCTTTCCGGAAGTTTGAGGCCTTCATCAAGGACCTCGGCCAACTACTTACGCCTAACTTCATGTTTGGCTTCACTTCGGCCATTGACGAGGCCGCAGCTCACCTCTCCTCCGAAGCCTTGGAGTCTTTGAAAAACCATGCCAGCTACAATGAGGACTCCAAGAAGTTATGTGATCGGATGGCCGAGAGGCATTCAGGCAGGAAGGAATTTGGCCGAAGTCCAAAACGAGTTCAACAAGTGGCTGTCCGAACTCGACGAAGTGCTCGAGGAAAGCGGGGAGGAGAACCCTGAGGAAGACTTCGGCGCACAGGTGACGAAGTGCCTGGAGGAGATGAGCTTCACCCCAGCGGGGAAGAGACCGGCGAGAAGGCTGCACAGGAGGGAGTCAAGACCGGGGATGGAGCCGAGACGGGGGTCTAGGCTCGTAGGCCTTAAAGGGGTGGACGAGGTGGAGAATGTTTAGTAGCATTCCGACCTCGGCCTTGTATTTTTTGTAACACCTCTTTTGTGTTGAATGAAAACTATTCTTCTCATCTCAGCATTTTTAATTTCTTGCTTGACTTCGTCCCTTGCTTGTCCCCCTTATTTTTGAATAGCGTAATACCGATGTTGAAAAATAACATAACATCCGAAGTCATAACTTCATTAAGAATTCAAGCATAATATAACTTGAGGTTCTCGGCGTGACAAGACCTCGACACTAATGAGCCATCTCGGTAACTCAGTTTACAATACCCCTTAGGGTCAGATTCCACAACTCGATAAGCGCCTTCCCATTTCGGGCACAATTTCCCTTGCGGTTCAGCTCGGCTGATTGAGTTTTTTCTAAGAACCAAGTCTCCAGGATGGAATGTACGATGTCTGACACGGGCATTGTAATAGTGTGCCAGTGTGTTCTTGTATGAAGCTATCCGGGCTGAGGCGAGGTCCCTTCATTCTTCGATGAGGTCGAGATCCAGCTGTCTCTCTTCATCGTTCACCTCGGCTGCATAGGCTGCCAGCCGGGGACTGGGGGTAAGGATCTCGGCAGGGATGACGGCCTCGGCGCCGTAGGTCAAGGAGAAAGGGTCTCTTGCATGGCGGATCTCGGCGTGGTCCGGTAAGACCACAGGACACTTGGAAGCTCTTCCACCCAAGATGACCCAACTCGGTGGAGTCGGGTCTTGAGACCATGCAGGAGAGTCCGATTGAAGTTTTCTGCTTGACCATTGGCTTGGAGGTGGCCTACCGAAGTGAAGTGTTGTTTGATGCCAAGGTTTGTACACCAGACTTTAAAGGGGTTCTCGGTAAATTGCCTTCCATTATCCGAAATGATGACCTGAGGTATGCCGAAGCGGCAGATAATGCATTTCCAAAGAATTTTTGAATGGTCAGCCCGGTGATGGTCCTCAGAGGCTCGGCCTCAACCCAATTGGTGAAGTAATCCACGGCTGTTACCAGGAAGGTATAACCCCGACGGCTCTGGGGAAAGGACCTATGATGTCTGTCCCCCATTGTTCGAACGGCCAGGGTGAAGTGATGGGAACCATGAAGTTTGAGGGCAAGTGTGTGCTCGGGTGCGTGGACTTGGCAGGAAGGACAGCCGAGAATGAGGTCCTGGGAGTCTTGCCGAAGTGATGGCCAGAAATATCCAAGGAGCATAGTCTTCTTGGCTAACATCCTGTGGCCGACGTGAGCTCCGCACAGGCCTTCGTGGATCTCGTGGAGGACGTGACGTCCGGCCTCGGGAGTGACACACCTCAGCCATGGGTCGAGGTAGGAGCGTTTGTACAGCTCTCCATCGCGGAGAGCGTACTGAGCCGCCTTGCGTTGTATTCTTCTCGCCTCGGCTCGGTCTTCAGGGAGTGCTCCCTGACCCAAGAAAAGGATGAACGGGGTCATCCAGGTATCTTCGGAGTGCACGGGGCAGGCCACCTCTTCCACGTATCCCGGTTCATCCAGCACTTCCACCAAGACTGTCTTGTTGAGGTCAGAGAATGAAGTGGAAGCCAGCCGGGATAAGGCGTCGGCTCGCTTATTCTGGGACCGGGGTATTCTTTGGATTTCGAAAGACTCGAAGTACGCGATGAGTTGGTGAACTTTGGAGAGGTACCGTTGCATGGTCTTCTCCTTGGCCTCGTATTCACCAAGAACTTGGCGTACAACTAGTTGGGAGTCACTGCGGACGTGGATTTGTTGGGCACCGAGCCTGCGGGCCAGTTGGAGTCCAGCAATCAAGGCCTCGTACTCGACTTCATTATTGGTGGCCGGGAAGCCAAAGCGGAGGGCGTATGAGCACACTTCTCCCTGAGGCCCTTCTAGGAGTAGTCCAGCTCCGCTGCGTCTCCATTAGAGGATCCATCTACATACAATGTCCACAGGGATGGGGTGGACACCTCGGCTAAGGCGGAGGTGGACTCCGGACCTTCCGTGAAGGTGAGCTCAGCAAGGAAGTCAGCTAAAGCTTGAGCTTTTATGGCGGTGCGTGGCTCGTATGACAAGTCATACTCCCCTAATTCGATAGCCCACTTGGTGAGGCGACCAGAAGCTTCAGGTCGCACCAATATCTGCCGAATGGGCTGGTCGGTCCTGACGGAGATGGGATGAGCTAAAAAGTAGGGCTTCAATCGCCGAGCTGCGTGGACTAGTCCCAGCACAAGTTTTTCCACTTGAGTGTATCGGGTCTCCGGCCCGCGGAGAGCTCGGCTGACGTAGTAAACCGGCACTTGGGTGCCCTCATCTCGGATGAGCATGGCGCTGACAGCCTCGTCGGCTGCGGAGAGATAGAGGAAGAGCTTCTCCTCGGGCCGAGGTGAAGCAATGGTGGGTAGATGATGCAAGTACTGTTTCAGCTGGTCGAAAGCAGCCTGACACTCCTCAGTCCAGGCAAACTGGTCAGTCTTTTTCAGCACCTTAAAGAAGGGCAGAGCTTTCTCGGCGGATTGGGACAGGAAGCGATTCAGCGCGGCCAGGCGTCCATTCAACCTTTGGACCTCTCGGATGTTCCGAGGTGGGGACATGTCCTGAATGGCCCTGACCTTGTCGGGGTTGGCCTCGATTCCCCGGTGGGAAACCAGAAACCCCAAGAATTTTCCCGAAATGACGCCGAAGACGCACTTCTTGGGATTCAACTTCATTCTTGAGTCCCGCAGGACGCCGAAGACTTCCTTCACATCGGACAGAAAGGTCGAAGTGGCCTGGCTCTTGACAAGGATGTCGTCCACGTAGGCCTCCACATTACGGCCGAGCTGGTTTCTGAAGAGGCGGTTGATCAACCTCTGGTAGGTTGCCCCGGCGTTCTTTAGCCCAAATGGCATGGTAGTGTAGCAATAAACACCTTGGTCGGTGTAGAACGCCGTCTTCTCTTGATCCTCTTCACTCATTCCTATCTGATGATACCCTTTGAAGGCGTCTAGGAAGCAGAGGATCTCATACCCCATCGCCGAGTCGATTAGGGCGTCTATCCTCGGCAGAGGATAGCAATCTTTGGGGCAGGGCTTGTTGAGGTCGGTGAAGTCTACACACATTCTCCACCCACCGATGTCCTTTTTGACCATGACTGGGTTGGATAGCCAGGTGGGATATTGGACCTCATGGATCATCTTGGCCTGCAAGAGTTTATCGACCTCATCCGATATGGCCTTGCTACGCTCGGGGCCGAAGTGCCTCCGTTTCTGCCGCACAGGTCGTGCCTATGGGTTGACGTTAAGTTGATGAATCATGAGCTCGGGTGGCACTCCCACCACTTCATCGGCGGACCACGCGAAGATGTCTCGGTGGCCCTTGATCAGGGAGATCATTTCTTCCTTCAGGGGTAAGGGAGTTCGCCCCTACTTGGACCACTTGGTCAGGTCTCGCCTCATCCAAGACCACTTGTTCCACTTCATCCCCTGACTCAAGCCTGCTGGGCTTTCCTGCCTTGTGAGGGTCGATGCAGTCTATGGAGAGGACCGCGGGCCTCTTATCTTCTGACCTCGGCAAGGGTCGAGGTGCGACTGCTGCTTGAATGGTGGCGATGTAGCACTCCGGGCGGCGCCCACGTCGCTGCTCACCTCGCCACCCCTGCAGGTGTTGGGAATTTAAAGCTCAAGTGGTATGTTGAATACACAGCTCTCAAGGCATTGAGCGTGGGCGGCCTATCAGCATGTTGTAAGGAGAATCTGCTTTGACCACCGCAAAGCTGACAGGCACGGTTCGGCAGGGCGGGGATGGCGCCATGGTCACCATCAAGGTCACCATACCCTCCGGGTGGACGACATGTCCCCCGAAGCAGACAAGGGGAGTTCTGACTGGAGTGAGTTGTTCCCGGATCAGCTTCAAACTCTCGAAAGTTCGGTAGTACAGGACGTTTACCGAGCTTCCGGGGTCAACGTAGACCTTTTTGACGATGTAATTATTAGTGAGGACCTCAATCACGAGGGCCTCGTGATTGCTGGAAGCGGCGGGGACGGGGTCACTGGGACCGTAGGTGATCACATCAGATAGCCGGGAGCTCGGCTCGGCCGCTTCCATGCCGGCCTGGCGGTAAGTCCTTTTTCGGGAGTTCTGGTTGTCTCCTCCCGTTGGGCCACCCGCGATTGTGTTGATCACCCCGGCGATGTTTGGGCCGTAGCCTGGTGATCCGTCGCGTGGAGGCCTCTTTCCTTCGTTATGGTCCTCGGGACCTCGGCATTGAAGTTTCGTGTCCCGCCTGTCTTCTCGGCGTGGACCTTGGCTCTCCCGGTGGGAGACGCTTCGGTTGAAGCCTCTTTCGCGGACAAATTGTTTTAAGTGTCCTTGCCGAATCAGGTTTTCGATCTCTCGCTTCAGATCGTTGCAGTCTTCGGTCTCGTGCCCAACGTCTCGGTGGTAGGCACAATAGAGGTTGAAGTTTCTCCTATCCCTCCTCCCCGGAATCTCAGGAGGTGTTCGGCCGAGGTGGTTTTGCCTCATCACCGCCAAAACATGAGACCGGCTTGAATTGAGCGGGGTCAACTCGGCGTCCGAGGTGGACGACCTTCCCTTCACGATCCGGTCGAAGACACTCCGGCGGTCTCGAAGTTGGGTTGAGGTGCCACTTGGGCCTGGTTCACTTCGGTCGGTGTCTTTCCTTCTCCGGGGATCTTGCCCCGTACGAGATGCTTGGGCTTCTCGCTTCATGCGGTTTACATCTTCACTTCGGATTCCCTGGTCCACTCATTCCCAAAGTTCCCGAAGTGTACGGGGGTATTCCGATGGATTTCGGTGTTGAAGATCCCAGCTACTAACCCGTTGGTGAAGGCAGCAATAGTTACCTGCTCGTTCTGATCAGGTATCTGTACATTCTCCTCGTTGAACCTCTGGGCGTATGAGCGAAGTGACTCGCCCTGATCCTGTTGCAGGTTCAAGAGGTAAGCTGAAGTTTTCGTTATTGGTCGAGACGACACAAAGCGGTGGATGAACCGGTCTATCAGCTCATCCAGGGAGGAAATGCTCCCTGGTTCTAAACTCCAGAACCACTTTCGGGCAGTCCCCATGTAAGAAGATGGGGAAAACCCGACAAATCACGGTGTTTGGGACGCAGTAGAGGCGGAAAGCGGAGATGAAGGCGCGGAGGTGATCCTCGGGTCACCTCGGCCGTCATAAGTGTGCAAGTTTGGAAGCTTGAAGTTCGGGGGCACCATCTCCCCATTGATGTCATCGGTGAAGGGCGGAGCCCTCATGTAGTCAGAAGCTAGGCCCCCGGGGCGCCGAGGCGGGTCCTCGGCACGTTTCCCTAGCAGTCCCCGAGAAAACGCCGGGAGATGGAGGCAAGTTTAGAGGTTGCCTTGGAAGAGGCGCGCCTAGAGGTACTCCGAGAGAGACGCCCCTCATCAGAGTCCTCACCTGAGGGCGTTTCAGGAGATTTCGTCGGCCTCCTCTTGGAAGACTCGGCCTTTTCTTTCCCCTGTCTCTTGAGGTATCTTCCCAGCTCCTCAAAAATGTTGGGTTGTCTGATACGAACTCGGCCATCTTGGCGATGGCGTCCTCCTTGTTGGGCTGGGTCCTTTGGGACCCTTGCTCTTCAGAAATGCGATCTTGCTGGGCTCCCGAGGTCTGCCCAGCCCCGGTGGAGGGAACTCTTCCGCTTCTAGAGCGCGTGGATCTCATCTTAGCAAGTCTCGTTTCCCACAGACGGCGCCAATTGAAGAGGGGATTTTTGGTTGGTAGCTGAGCCGACCTGAATCAGCCTTCCCTGAGGTGGTGTGATAGGTCCGAAGTGAACCTACCGAGCTGAAGTGAGTGGCGGGGCTTCTCCCCTGGGATCACTCCGACGATCAAGTTAGTATGAGAACGAGAATAATAAGAATACGAGTCAATGAACAGTGTATGCTTACTTGTTGGGAGTGTGTATGCTTACTTGTTGGGAGTGTGTGTGGGGTATTTATAGGAGAGTAAAGGACAGGACGGAAAGTCCATGCTGGTGGGACCCACTCTCTGGCATTACGGCTCTGTCCCCTGTCAGGAGGTCTGACCCTGACACTGTAGCCTTCTGGGTATGATGACGGAGCGTGTTGGGCAGGTGCCATTAAGTGCCTCCAGTGCTTTTCAGATAAAGCACTGGTCCCGGGTGATGTCAGGTGGTCTGACATCATCAGCGTGCGGCCGAGGTGGGGGTGCCGAGGTCACCCACACGATAGACTAGGGATCCGGCCGAGCACAGGGGTTATGTTCAAGACACGGATGAGTTCTGATAAGGGACGAGGTGGTGGTCCCTAGAGGTCATCCAAGGAGGTCGCCCAAAAGCCTTGGTCGACTTCAGGGGTCATTTGTGGGACTTGACCGTGCTTGAGTGGACAGGAGCAGGGTTCACCTCGGCCAGGCGGTGCTGGCCGAGGTGAGCATCTTCATCAATGATTAAAATAATGACCCAATTTTATTTTTGTCAATAAACAAATCAAGTATTGACATAATTCAATTAATGTAATGGTAGATTTAAGAACCAAAAATCAACCAAAGATAACAATAATTTGTGGTGCCCAAATTATTAAATCAACACCATTGCCCCCTAAGATATCACAAAAGGATACAATAAGTTATTAGCATTAGTTGCCACTGTGACTCCAATTTAAGACAAGTACAGCTCAAAAATAAAATCAGTACTTTAATGTGAAAATACATATAAAGAAAATAATGTACTACTTAGTTCATCATAAATGCATCAACAATAGCAGTTAAATCAAGGAGACATAAATAGTTAATAGAAAGATTGAAAATATGAAATCCGATTTCACAATTAATGGAACTAGGACTTCAATCCTTGAGTTGAATATCAAATTAGCTACACATAATTGAGAGTTTCTTCCTCAATAATAATAATCTCCAAGAATAATTGAGAAAATGTGAGACATTTATAGCTAAAACACAAATCCTTCATTTTGATAAACTCCTCTAATCTATTCCTAAGATTGTAAAGCTACGAGAAATGTAGAAATCTCCATCTTTTGTTTCTTCAAAAGTTGTTTGTACGTAGGTCTCCTTATATAGATACTAGAGAGTCATAGGGTTTGAGTTGGAGGAGAACAAGTAACTTAATATAAAAGAAAACGTGTTTCCCATAGATGTCTAGCTCCAAGTTTAGCTTCAAATCCAGTGCTTATTGTCTACTGCTTCTTTAAACTTTGAATTTTCTCCTAATTTCAGCTCCATTTTGGTTCTTTTCTTCCAATTGTATTCAACCCTATTCAATCACGAAAAATATCTTAAATAGTACTTTTTATAGAAAAATTTTTTTTATAGCAAAAATTAATTAGAACTGGACAGTAAATGTTTATGACTATTTGACTGTTGTTCATGACTATTTGATTAGTTGATGAAGCAAAGATTAAACAAATTTTAACCAAACCGAGCTCAATTTGAATATCACTTTTTAGCCCTATGAGCTCTATAACGTTAGCTTCTAAATTAAACAAATTCAGATTAGATCATTCACATGAGGACATAATCGATAAAATTCTTTTCTTCAACCTTCAATATATTGTACATTTTCTCAACTAACATGTCCTTAATTTTGATACTATTCAAGTGGTTAATATGGTTAGAGGAAGAAGTGTTGAGAATTTGAAGTTCCAAAACTCCATTTGTTAATTTTTTTATTTTTGGTTTTTGTACAAAAAAAAAAATTAGAACAAAATGTTATCCTACTCCAAAGGCTGGAAGGTCACGGGTTCCATGAGTGGAATTAATCGTTGGGTCACTGCACTAAATCCCGATGAACCATGACTTGAATTGCACTTTACCCCTATGACTATATAAATACCTAACTCATGATTTTAATCAAAAAACAAAAACCTAACTCACTCCAATGTGTATGGCTCAGGCCAATTTAGATCCATGTGCACAAGCATGACACAGAGGTAGATTGGCTATCACGTTGGAGGAAAAAAAAAATTTTTACAGAAAGATTTTTTTTTTTTTTTTATATAAAAGTATAAGTAATCCACAGTAATGGGATTAATACAAATTGATTATAACCAATTAAGTAATCAACACTATAACTGATTAACTCACAAATAGTGGAAAGATAATTAATATAAAAATAGACACAACATATATTTAGTGAGACCTAAGCCCAACTGCTCTAATTTATAGAATCTCAAACTTGACCACTAAATCAAGGGTTCATCGGCATCATGTTGGAGAAAGTTAGAAGTGTATTGTTTGGCCAATGTTAGGAGGTTAATAACTGCATTGAAATATCTTACGGTAAGTGCCCAATGAATTTAATATTTTATTCTATCATTAAGAATTACGTTTAATTAGTGCTGTCACGTATAAGAGAATTTTTTAATTTTTAGTTATGATAGTAAGGCAATTTGTTTGATTTGGATCCATGGGATCTCGTAAAAATCTTGTATTAGTAATTCTTGTTAAATCTTAAATTATAACACTTCTATCTTTCCAGTATTACTCAATATATTTTGTTTGAATAGTGTTCTACATGTCTCTAAAACTTTTGATAATTTTGTAATTCAACCTTTCAAGACTATTCATTTCATTCACTTTGAAATATATGCATTTCACAAGAAAATATTGCCTTTTGGTATTGCAATAAAGATTCTACATGTATCACAGACGCTGAAACTTTTAAAGTTATAAATATATATAGAACTCTCTCACTTCATTACCTGCATCATTTGTGATATTGAGTACTTGCGAAGTGTCTAAAACACAAAGGTGATAATATGTACTTGCTTGGATTTTGTTTTCTAATTATATTTACATTTAGAGGAGGCAATTTTTTGACACAACAAAAAAATACGATTCGAAAAAGGCTCGATATTAATGAAAGTGTATGTACCCTAAAGTCAATCAACTTTTAGGGTTTGATATGTATTTGAACTATTTATGTTATAATAAATGATAACTTTACAATATTGATTGCTTATAGATTTATATTTGTATGATAAAGTTATTATAATAGCCTAATCAATTTAATTATAAGGATTATGATGATGAGGTGCAATTAGTTTTTTTTTTCAACATGTGAAATTTCTGGTAAGCTTAAAAAAGAGAAAAAAATGAGCCTACTACAATTATAATAGTAATCAAAATCAATTGCAAATTAAAGTAATTAATTGCGTATGCTAATAAGGTAGAATTTGAACTCATTTTATACGAGTGTTTAGTGCTTTAATTGCTTTATTTGAGCTTTAATATTGATGGAAATTGCCTAATTTATTCTAGTTTTTGATCCAATAAGGGGTTGGCTTAATTTGATAGAAAATGGACTGATCGGGTACAAAGCTCGAGCGCCAATTAGAAGAGACCAATGCAAGACATCATAATGGACATTGAACTAGACATTCTCCAGAAATTTTTAATATTTTGCATCAGTCAATGTTAAGCACCGAACATTACGTCGGACTTTGTCAAAAACCTATTTGAACTTGACTTTATAGCTTTTCAAGACTTAATCATACTGCATTTCAACTAGAAATTTAGGATGCTATATGCAAGGGTTGTTTAGGACACTTTTAAGAGAAAAACATTGTGTAACTTTTTAGTCCGTACATTTTATATCTTTGTTTTTTAAACAATCAGGACAAAGGTGGGAAAGAATCAAGGAGCGATCAAGACAAAGATTACAGCCACTAAAATTAAGAAGTTTTACTTACTCTTTATCTTCACTTGGATTATTCATGACTATGTTGAATTAATTTAATTCTAGGATTAGGGTTTTGTGAAGAAGTATTGGTTGATTATTCTAATTAAATTCTTGAAATTTGTCTTGATTTATCTATCTTATTTTAATTATATATTTATGCTTGATCACTATGGACATGCATCTAGGGTTTGTATGAATTGAGAGGGGCTATACAACTGGGTATTAGATATATAGACATACTTAACCTAAAATTTGAGAGTAATTTAGGATTTGCATGATGTAATTAAAATCACTTAAAATCTTAGATCATCAATTAAGTAGTTATGATTTTGAGAGAGATGTGAAATTTAATTGAGCATAATTTAGATGTATTGAGAGATAATCTAAAGT